TCAACTCATTAATTCGCTAATCTTACTTAAACAAACAAGAAACCCATACTTGTTTAATGCAATTTTTCTTATGAGCAAATTTTAAAGAAGCCACTCATTTCATAAAATAAGTAGGTAGTCTGTTAGATTTAGGTCTTATCTTCATTACAAATTGTGCTGCCACACCTTCAGAGTTATATAAGCTGATAAAGGAACTTCTCTTTCAGGGTTCTCCCCTGAAGTTTTAAAAGTTATATTTTCCATGTAAGGGCCCAAGGTTGTTTTGAAGCCTACATTATTATCTCGCGACCTGCAGCCACGTTTGGTTCTCACAGAATGAGATCTTATGTATGGCTCTCATTTAAACAACCACAGTATAATAAACTATTTTAATGCCATTAATATGAATGACGAAAATAAAACGTAAATCTGTAATCAGTGTAGCCAACCTAATTTTTTCTTCCCGTTGTGTGAGGTATGTCTGATATACGTAACTTTATGGAGTTTCGTTTCAGGTAATTGGTTGATGAAACATGTGTTAGGCAGTGGATGATGCCTGTAACATAATTTACGTACGAATATGAGTCATAAACTTTCCGTAATGATTTATTTTACAGTTTGTTGTGTTGGCTGCGCTGCTTATTTTACTCGAAAGAATAAGCGCCAACACCGTACGATATTGTGAAATACTTTCGACCTTTACCGGCTAGTAGTGTCATACATAACCTAACATGGTCGTTCTGATTTCTGTAAGCATCAAAGAAGAGCCGCGTGCAGTGACACGATTTCTGTGGGCTGAAGGTCTACCAGGTGCAGAAATCCATCACAATATGGAAACAGTGCTTTATCGCGGCGAAGTGTGTACGAAAGGATAACCATATTCACAACCGGTCGCACAAAATGCGACCGACTAAGTTCTATCAGGACGCTCGTCCTTATCCACTGCGGAGGAAAACGTTTAAGGAGTCCGTGGCATGATTCTGGATAATCTACGGGTTAACTATCAGTCGTGGTTCTGCTCAGGATATCATCCAATATCGACTTGGATTTCATAATCGTTCTGCAAGGTGGGTTCCAAAACAACTCACAGAAGAGCAAATGCAATTTACCACAATAATTCCCGTCCTCACACTATCAACCGAACCATTGAAAGCCTCCACTAACTGAACCTTGAGGTGTTGAAGCGTCCTGTGTATAGGTAGGATTTGCAGTTTTTACAGTGGTGAGACTGCCTTCTTTGTTGTAGTGCCATCCAGTCTGGTAGAAGTTCACCAACGTTTCAGAGGGCCTTGCTGCCTCCATCATCAGGACCCCAATGATGCATCAGCAAGGGCCTCTGAAAAGTTGATAAATGTCTTCCTGACTACACGGTGACGGAAGACCATGTTCACACTCCATACAGTCTTGATCTGACTATCGCCTGTCTCGTCCACCGAAAGATGCTTTGAGAGGCTGCCATTTTGCCAGTGACCAAGAACTGAGAGAAAAGGTGCATGCGTGACTTGTCTCAGTAGCATTCTTTTTTCTGAACGCATACAGAAGCTTCTGGACTAAGTGCGTTGAAAAGGACGAGGACTATATTAAAAAATGATGCTGTTGTACGTACTCGTCATTGTATTATTTAATAAAAAATTAATTGCGGAAACTTTTCTGCCTTGCCCTCGTATGTTTGTCTATGTTTTATTTCTGGTGTTAAGACCAAGAAATACAATGGACTAGTCTTGAGGTTGTAAAAGTGATACAAGTGCATCTCAGTTTGAGCGTCTTAGTACCTGATAAATTGAACATAAGCAATCCCCTGAGAACTAGGAGAACGCCGCAGCTCACAGAATCATGGTCAGCATGACAAAAGCCTTTTGGAAAATTGGAGATAGGGGAACTGCTGCTTGTCACAGTAGTCGTATATTATTTTGATGAGCCTGACACTAAGTGAAATGGTGGAAGGTGTGACTCTTGTCAAGATTTTAGGTCAAATTCTGCTGCTGTTTTTCATAAGAGGAGATAAACTTTTGGAAGTACACACAGCTCACTCCATTAGAGGCACTGAGTGTTAGAACAATATTATAACTATTATCAGTTCAGTAAAACTATGAAAGCAAATTTTATTACATCTCCCAGTAATTATGGATGTACGAGTAGCACATTTCAAGCTAAAACAGTTTATTTGTTTGATACAGGTTCCTTCAGAAAGACGAACACTGCCATCAGAACTGCCAGGGCCTTTACGACGCCGAACGTTCCAGAAGCGTTGTGCCCAGTCTCCGCGAGAGGAAACACTGCAGACATCATGCTCGCTTCCTGAGACGCCTATCTTTGCCAGAGGTTGTGATATACCTCGTACCCCTCACCGAAGAGCACCAGATATTCCGGGCATGGCTCGAACAGCTCCTCGACCTGGAGGACTCGCCGCAGGCGGTTACAGACGAGTCGGGACAGGTCCGCTGCCAGGTCATGCAACGGGGGTTACACTGGGAACAGGAGGATTGAGCCAGGCACTCGTGGGTGCCGAGCTTCTGCGACTGGCGGGCGGCCCAGGCCGAGGCTGGTACCCGCGACATAGGCAGCAACCTCGACCTGCCTCCATCGAGCACCTGGACCGCCTCACGCCCGGACACAACACACCAAGTCCATGGGAATCGAGAGATTCCAGGAAACCGCTTACACTGCCTCCAAATTTGTCGCCCAAGTTCTTCCATCGTTCGCCACGCGAGGCTCTCAGAAGAGTCACCAGCCTTCTGATCAAGAAAGGTAAGTCTGCAACACACCCTGTCTTCAGCAGGTTTATTTTCGTAGCAGCAAGTCTGTTGGCGCCTTGCAGGTCCAGATTTTTGATGGCTTCTTGTGTTCTTAATTTTTACCTTGCGTTGCATTCATCACTGTCAATAGCACTAACCCTAAATAAATACCAGGAAGATTGGCCCAAGCAAACAAATGTATGCACTAGACAAGGGTAACCAAATTAACTATGTCAACATATATAACACACTGTTCTTTCACCATAAAGTAATCTGTAGCCATCAAACAATTTTTTTTAAGTTGCAGACACAAATCTGATGAATTTCTGTGATAAACAGAATAGGGCAAGGCATTGGAGTGATACAGAATTATGCTAGCCTTCAATGTGAGACAAGCCGAGGGGCTGGGCCGTAGGTTAGACCCCTAACGTTGGACCTAAAGTATGATGTCAGATGCTATATTGTCTGAAAAACTTTTGTGTTTTGGACATGAGGAAGGAATTTGTTTTTCTTACTTTGAGGTGGTTTTGTTCAATTGCATCGGTTACCATGTGCAGATACGTATTTTTGAGCCAGCTTAGGCTAGGGACCCACTGGCGCGACTAGCCGCGTGCGGCGTGTTAAGTGTTGTCGCGCGCGGCTGTTATTTGTATTGCTTTTTGTAGTTGCGAAACCCACTGACGCGGCGCGGCTGCCGCGCCAGTGGGTCCCTAGCCTTATGCTGTAACATTAGTTGTCGTTAAATCCACTAGATGGTGGTTGCTACTTCAGGAAGGAGATAGGTGCATTTGTAGAGTGGTGCCATCTGTCAGAGACGCGTAGAAACTGTTGGTTTTACTGCGTGATCGACCCTGACAGTGAAAGATAATGTGATGGGGTGTGGCTTGTCTCAACGCCGGTAATGGCTACCGAGACAAGGCTGTTCCGAGGCCGATAACCTATCACGCGTTAAAACCAATGTTTTTCTGAATCGAACCAAAGTCGGAGCTTTCGAAAGCGTAGTCTGCAAACTCCCATAGTAGATTGTGGACATGAACAATTGTCATTCTCACCATGTGTTATGAGGTTTATGCTAGTAACATCGACAGGGAATTTAGCTGTTACAGGAAATGCGAACCTGTACATACACATTGATTCCTTAATATGGCTGACTAGTGCAGGAAAATTGCACTGTTGTCAAATGTCCTTACATGCCGGTACATATATTTGAAGTGGCCCCACAACAATTGGTTCTGAGCTTGTTTTACGACGCTGCAACGGCTTAGATTATTTACCTTATTTAATGACAGAATTATTATTAAACTATACCATATTGTGAAGGTCCGAGGAAGGCTTTTTACATTATTGAGTCTTTAGGAAAGAATGTTATTTGAACGTCCGCTATTATTTGAACAACGTTTGGCTCTGTCCACATCTTCACGTACTCTTTAAGTTACAGGTACTTGATTTAACTGTTTAGAAGAGGCGTTCGTATATCATTTTTCTGATAAGTCGAGCATAGTTGCCTACCAATTCTTGTAAACCCTGACAGTAGATAACATTAGATCATCCGTGGCTGAGGAATTACGAAATCATCTAGTGTCATGGTTAGCGAAGTAGGATTCTGTCCTTATGTGAGAGACTGGGGGTTCGTTTCCAGGATATGTCTGACCAGCAGAGACTTTCATGGCATTGTTGAGTCCTGTCACCTGAATCATCAGAAAGTTCTTTGAAATCTTTACCACTCACGGCGAAGACATAAAGCTACTCGCCCACTGCCTTAGTTTTGGTGGGGAACCCAGAAGGGAAGAGACCATTTCGAATTTCTTGTATCAGATGGAATAGTATTGACGCAAATCGCTCTCGGAGCCTCTCCTTATAAGAAACAGGACGGTAGGGTTTGCACGTGGCTCGGATCGGTGGCGGACTCTTGTGGAACCGGTAGGAAAACTTGTGGTTCCGTATAAGGAAGTCTTCTGAAACTGTTAAGCCGGTGTGCCGCGAATTTTTTTGATAAGAAATTACAGTTTCCGACGTTTTCATTGTGAAAACGTAACATGTTGTCTTTGGTGATTAGAATTCGTAATACAAACACGGAGAGGTTCATCATCCATGGTTTTATCAGACATGTGATGTCGTGAGGCGACATTTTGTGGTGTGTTCCGCGAGTGGAAAAAAAAAATGTTAGCGTAACATTGTTATAAGGTGAGGAATTTCCTGATAAGCTGAATAGCTGTAAGTTTTTCAAGAAGGACTCTGATTCAGTTACAGAAAATGTTAATTGCTTATGCAGAAGGTTGGAGACGAGCAGACATTGGCTGCTTGTCCGCAAAAATGGGATGCTAAGCGCCTCCCACAGTAGCACCAACACGCCCGACGGCCATGTTGGAACAGCTGCACAATCGATCCACCTCTTGGTGACGAATCTGATGACGTCACAACAACGTGACTCATAGAAAATGAAAGTGGGGTAGTGAAGACATGTGATTCAGTGGTTCTGAATCAGCGTAACCGTTTCGATTCCGATAATCGAACAGAAAAAGTGTGCAGTTTCATTGTTGGATATTCAAACGGCACGTTCCCTGGAACTAATGCACTGATTAGCTTTTGTTTAAAAACGTAGTTGATGCTAAAAAAATGTCGGCTTGTCTGTCGTCGTGTTCCAGTATTCGACTTTTGAAAGAGATGACCTATTTTCATGAAATTTGTCGTGAAAGATGTTGGAAAGTGCCAGATGTTAAGTCAAAAATAATATTAGAAGTACTGATTATGTGTGTGTCTTGTCCGTCGAGGCATCTCGTAACCCGGCCCGTCCTTTGTACGAATGGCCTTGAGATCATGTCAGGAGGTTTTATGGCAGAGCCGGAGAAGAACATTGGATCGTCCTGTCGTTCTGAATGACCGAATACACACATATTTTGCTCCGTACCGTCAAAGTTCTTGTTCTGAAATGGTTACATCTTATTACAAGTCAGTAATTTAGGACTTGGGGCGATTGGAAATAAGATTTTCACTTCGTTTTGGAGTCCCGAATTGTAATCTTTTAAAATGAATGGTCATTATGACGATTATATGACAAAATTACGTTGTCTTATACAAACAGATCTGTTTTCTTGTGGTGTACATCTCTTGGGCGTGCATATTCAGTGCATATTTCTGTATTTACTTAAGTCGGCTTACTGTTTCCGTGTTTCTTACCACATTTATTCTCACATTGGGTTTAATCTCACTGACTGTTTACGTCAGTCGAGGTCTTTCGTCTCCTTTTCGATGAAGACTTTGTCTCCTGAACACAGAACAGCGGATGGAATTATCCTCTTAAAACAAACTGGTTCCTGGCATTCACTTCGTTGCTAGGTACAGTCTGCTCTATTCTTTTGTTAACAAGTGTCGTCTAGGTTGGATTCATTTTTTGCATGTAAATAAGTAGTAGAGATTATTATTTAATTGTTTTAAAGTCAAATAAAATTATTATTTATGATTATTATTAGGTTTTAGTGGCCAGTTCTCGAAATACAGACGAATTTTAAAAGTCTTTTTGTACATGTTTTGAGAAATGTGAAATCGTTACGTGTTTGTTGTCTTCGGTATCAGAGCCGAGCCCTTCGAAGGGCATAGCATATGCGTCAGTATTCCCGAAACGTCCGGACACACGTGTGTTTGCTATTTATCGTGTTTAAGCATGATACGCCGTTAAGCAAATAGAATGACAAGCGAATTCTTTACAGCCTGTATCTCGCTGGACTTTGCTTAAGTGCATCAAAGACGAACCCACGCGTTTGATAAGGCATTTCGTCGTAATTTTTATTCGTCGCCGAATATTAGCGTAACAGATTCGACGAGGACGAGGTGGGTAATGTCTGTAGCACGCATGGGAAAGGTACCAACAGTGGAAGCCTCTTAAGGACGCTGGATCAGCCAGCAAACCTTCGTTTCGCAGACAATCAGGTCATCATCGCTGACATTTGTAGCGAACACTTGTTCGCTCGATCGTTTCTGGGTTAGTGAAATGTTGTCTGGTTCGTTGCAACACAATTGGACTTAATTTAAGCAGCTGAGGAGAATTTAAACTTAAACTCAAAGTTAAGTGCGAACGGCTGAATCTACAACTTCAGACTCTGATGAGATTTATATTTTCTCTTAGTAAGACGAACACTTCGTTGTCTGACGACGCTTTGAATAGCGAAGGATTTGTAAGGAAGCGTTAGTGGCATTTGGCTTGAAGAACTGAGGAAAACCATGGGAAATCTCGGCGAGAGTATTCGGTACACGATCGGAGATCTGAATCTAAGATCTCAGTAGTACGACTTTGGAATGCTAACCACTGGACCGTATGAGCCGGGATAGCTCAGTCAGTATAGTGACTAGCTACGGGCTGGACTTACGTGTTTCGAAATCCTGCTGTGTTACTAAAAGGTTGCGATACTTCGAAAGCAAAGCAGATTGGTTTTCCTCAGTTTCTACAGACGAATGAGCCAACTCCACTTTCATATAACCTACTCCTGATTCATTCTTATATTTCATTTAGCGCTACGTAACGTCTGTAGATGATACAGCGTTATTAAGGCTTCGACCGGGATGTTCTTTTGTTAAATCTTAAATGTGGTACCGCCTGATTCGACTTCTAATGGTTAAGTGAAGTGTTTTCTTCGCGGTACGGTCTGGATTCGTAAATATTATGAAGACGAGCTTCGGCTTCGAAGGGTTAACCAGCTGATTTTCGTAATGGTGAGGTGTAGTGTTTTCTTCGCGGTACGGACTGAATTCGTAAATAATATTCAGACGATCTTCGGCTTCGAAGGGTTAAATAGTTCACAGATGTCGAAAGACAATGTTTTACACACGATAATTGAAAAACAGGAAAGGACACGCTGAAATTAAGCCCTTTTGGGGGGGGGTTTCTGGGCCTTTAAAAATACCCCCACATGGGCGTTGATTCAGAACTAAGCTACGACGCGTTGTAATATATTTTCAAAAATTCCGTCTTCATTTTTATCGCAGATATCGTCTTTCTTTGGGGCAGTCAGTGGTCGG